ATATCAGAAAGTGCAAATGAAATGTTTTAAAATTATCCGGTCCAAATTCAGGTGCTACGAATTCAATGCTCTCATGTTTTTGTACAATACAGAAATGGTCAGTTATTTTTCAATATTTTTTCAATCTCATTTTTACCTTCAAGGAATTTCACCTTGAAGGAAGTATTGGTCATTTTACAGAAGAGTAATTCCAATATTGTTTGCCATATTAACATATAGTTAGCAAATTGAAAATCTGCATGTTTTCATAATGGCTATACAGGATGGTCCGTCATGATTGGGCCATAGTCACTATAGATTCCAAGCAGGAAAATAATGAGATTTAACCAAATATGCCTTAACAAAATATTGCTCGTTTTAGAGATACAGGGTGTTAGAAATTGATTTTAGATTTATTATTTATTTCATAAATTTTACAATTTTAGAGAAAATAACTTGAAAACTCGGAATGGGGGTTTTTGATGGTGGAAAATCCGATTCTGAACTCAGTTATCAAGTTACCATCAAAAGGTGCTACTTTTCAACTTATAAATAAAAATTGCTCATAGTAATTTTTTTATGCAACCCTCTATCGCAATTTTGAATAAAAAATCTGATTAACTGATTATTCTTAAAGGGAAAAGGTATACCCGTTTGATATCTATAAACCTCCCCAATTTCAAGATATTCGCACTTAAATCATTTAATCCAAGCGAATTTTCGTTTTCAGACTTACAGAAAGTAACAGCACTTCAAAATTTTTTAATAGAACACCCTGCATATGTATATGTTTCATACAATGGTTATGAAAATAAAGAGATCAAGGATCATTCTCAAATTATAAAGAAATTGTGGCCAAAACAGTGTACAACAAGAAATAATGTGTTAAAACTTTGGGATTTCGTAACTAAAACCTAGTCGTTTTTATGTGAAGTGAATGTGAACTTGAATTTGAACTTGAATTTGAACTTGTAGTTATGTAATATAGCTTTATTAATTATATAATGTAATGTATCTCCATATGAATCTATATAATTATGTAAATAAGGACATGAGAAATATAAAAAAGCATATCTTATAAGAACTGATTATATATCAAAAAAAGTTTCATATGTCAAATTCGAAACTGAAAAAAGGGATGGATTGTGATTTTGTTCAACTGAGAATATAATGGGAGGATACACTAAACTTATATGTGTATAAAATTAAACTTCTAAAAAATAAATAAGGAGAATATTAAAATTAAATATTATTTGCGTTTACAATGAAACATCTAAAAAACAGATTCATCCAGTTTATAAATTTGAATATACCCCAAGTATCTACGTATTTGTTGACCAGCAGCATTATGTAATGAAATTAGAATGAAATACAATGCAAACCTGAATATTTACAATTTAAATTGCTGCTATTTTTAGTTAAAAAAATATCATGTTTGATGTGCAGCTTCGGAACAAAAATAAACGAGAAACATGAATTATCAATTTTTTCTCTTTAAATATTTAACATCCATGAGAAAAAAATTATACAAGTTGATAGATTTTCCTGTCAGAAACGTCAAAAAATGGTGAAATATAATTTTTGTGGTCGGAACAAAAGGAATTCTAGTTGATTATTCCTAAAAAAAATAAAACATCGCTCTGAATATAGTGGTCCGAAAATTGTTGTAAAATAATTTTCTATCAAAAATAACTGTCTGGATAGACTTGAAAGCAATAAAATCGAAGTTTGATTTCGCTCTGAGAAATTTTTACTCACTAGTTACGCAATCAACTCCAGTTTAACTCTTTATCTAAGACAATTTCCAAGGTGGCAATATTATCATATACGATGGGGAACACCCTATATATTTTGTGACGACGAACTTAATGAATCAAGGTCAAAAATAGTTCATTTTGTTGACAACATTTTTGGATTTTTTTTTATTCTACAACCAGATATTAAAACCATTTTATTGTTATTAGTAGATAGTATTAATTTATTAATTATTATTCAAGTGGTATGTTATTGTTCATGTAGTTTGCGCCAGGAGTTGTTTAGACCTTCATTTTTTTTTATTTGAGAAATAAAGAAAATACGCCTAATTTTACTATAGTTGGTTTTTTTAAGTAGTCAACTTTAGTTTAGGGAATTCCACAGGTAGTATAAAAATGTTTATAAAAGTAATATTATGAAAAATAAAAATAAACATAACTGCATGTTACGACAAACTGACTCGATATGATACGATCGCTAGTACAAATATTCAACCGCAGGATCCTTTGCAAATGACATTTTTCATGTAATGGATTAAAATAGTACTCATTCATATTCATCATTATGTTATAATCTAGGTTCACGTCAACCTTGAATTCAATTTTTATTATGCCTTTAAAACAATATTAGTTTTCATACTTTTCTTAAGAACTATTAAAATTCATTAATTTTGGGAACAACCTGATACGTAATAAAACTAGTAAATTATAATCAGCAACATTCTTAGCTTTCCTTTTACCTAAAATCTGTAAACTAACATTACACTGATAAAAAAAATTGTGGAAATTCACATAGGAATTTACAAATTTCATATTTGCAATGATTTTTATACACAAAAAATATAAATGAATTGGACATACATAATATATTGTTAGAATTACATGTTTGAGTGTATATTTTCTTTTTCCGATGTATTCTTACCTTTTACGTTGTACTTTTACATTTTACAATGTATTATTCCTAATCCATTACCTATGTGTTTTTATTACATTTATAGCGTAATCACCCGGTGCGATATTACCGCGCATGCGTAAAGAACCATGCTAGTTCAGTAGGCACGTTTATATTCATTTGTGGTGTAATAATATAGCATAATGTTTTAGCTACCTAAATATAATGTTATAAATAAATATTGAGGTAAGTAAATAATATGACTGTGGAAATTATACACTCTTGGTGTATCTTCGTTTAAAATTATTTAAAAGTGAAACATCACAACAACCATATCGAACTTTGCCTGTTTTTTTATGCAGATATTCATATTGTAACTTACTATTTAAGACCTATTTTACTTATTGTTTTACTTACACTGTATTTTGTTTTAAATTTAATGTTCTCATGTGGCCATTGCTCTGAAATGATGCAAAATGCACCTAGACGCGAGAATTAGGGCAAAATTTTCATCCAAAAAACCTCACAATCTGTAAAACTTTTCCCAGAAAATGCATGAAGAACGATTTTTCTTGTACTTCATTATTTTAAATTAGAAGTCATTTTTATGTAAGAAAATGTACTTATCTCATTTGTTTTAGATAAGTACCTACATATTGTTTATTTAATTAGTCCTCACAGTTAAAGAGTCAAAGTCGTCTCACAAATTCAATTAACGTTGGGCTTTATAATAAACTGCCAACTACTGTTAAATCGTTAAATCTGAATTGTTTTAAAACTGTAATTAGGAGGCATCTAAGTCAATACTGTTTCTATACAACACACGATTTTCTTAATACAGATTATAAATAATTGCTGTTATATGCCGCTTCGTGTGAAGTTGGATTGTTTCGGCTTGTTTGTGATGATGTACTCTATGTGTTATGTTTGATATACTATATTTTCTTTGTCTTATACACATTTATATGTATGACTGTATCACATTTGTACCTTTGACTTGCCATAAATGTATATGCATATATGTAACATGGTCCAATAAACTTTCTTTCTTTCTTTCTTTCTTACTGCAAGCTTTATGCGGTTTTAGAGAGTATGAAAACTTATTTGGTAGCTCATTTTTAAATTTAGATATTGAAGAACAAAGACGTCACTAAAAAAAGGTGTGTAAAATTATATATATACTTTATCCTTTAAATAAGTAGGGATATTAGGTATTTACAGAGATCGCTTTATACAGGGTGTTTCGCATAAGAACCGACACAGAGCAGGACCATTTAAGGGAACCCAAAATGTAGTGATTTAACGCAACTTATCCTTATACTAACCTGCACCCCTGAGAAGTTATATGCCTTGAAAGTGGGATTTCAAATTTCAAAAAAATGGATATCTCAATAGTTATACTTGAACTTAGGAAAACTTTGGTACACGGTGTGAATGTACCAAGAGCAGTAATCGACAGTAAGTAGAGTTCAATTGAAGCATTTCAAAGAGTTGATAAGGGATGATGCACCATTAAAATGTGACAGAATTTTTTAACTTGTTAGCGGACTTAAAAATTATTATTTTATTTTATGTATAAAAGTTGGCTATGAATTTAAACGTAAAACTTGACGATCAGGACAAAAAGTTGGAATACGAATAATTTAATAGAAAACCAAACAGCTTAAACAACAAAAATAACAATTAGCACTGATGTTATAGAAATTGTTTGCCGTTTTCTCTCAGGCATAAATTTGTTTTTTGTCGAAAATTCGAGTCTACTCTATCCAGTAACTGCTGACTTATCGGTTCTAATGCGGAACTGTATATATTTTTAATTTTTACTTACTTCGTTAATTTAAACCTTCTGTACTAAGTTTTCATTGTATCATCAATTTAAAAAAGCTGTTTAATTAATTGGTTTAAATAATTTTCTGTATTATTTATTTTTAGATATAATCCGAAATTTAGATTTTACTATAGAGAACATGTGTCATTTACTGCATTAATAAATCTTCTTAAGCTTATTTAATATTATTTTCCTTTCACTTAGAATGTCGTAATATGTTTTGGAAAAATATTTAAGTAGGTATGCAAAAAAATATATTTTTTTCTAAAAATATTACAAAATAATAATGCCTCCTATATTTTTTTCTTTTTAAAAATATACTTTTCCTGTATCTTAGTAAAATTATATTTTAGGAGTCGTAAATATACATCGATAATGTAAATTTACATTATGGGTGAATTACACAAAAAAATGTAAAATTACCTGCTTAATGTAACTTTACTGTAATTTTACATTACCCACTGTGGCGTCAAAATAACCACTGATCTAGTGTGTAATTTTACATAAAAATTTTTATCAGTGTGGCTAATAAAAAAACTTGTTTCAGATGAGAAGCCAGCAGATTTCGAAACAGCCATCACCGCATGCGGTTTTGGGAAGTTTAACATAATACTGTACATAATCTCAACGGCAGCAGGATGGTCATCAGTTTTCGAAACAACCACAATGTCATACGTATTCCCAGCGGCAGAATGTGACCTAGAACTGAAACTGAGTCACAAGGGACTCCTCAATGCAGTCACTTATTCAGGTAGAAACAATTTCAATTTAGATAAATATCAGATAAGTTAGGTATTCGCACTGCTGCATGTTTTCCTTATTTGATTTTGATAGGAAACGAGCAAACCGCATATTTTTAAATTGCTTAAGCAATAGAGGTTCGGAGTGCATCCATTGAGTGAAATTATTGATTACATTTTCACTCAATATTGGGCGTTTTGATCTTTTACTTATATGTGATTATATTTAAACTCAAATATAGGTACTCCTTAAATAAATTCTTCATCTAAACTCGTATTTGGTGCACCTAAATCAGAGTAAATGTCGTCATTACTGAGTTATTCCATCCTTTTTCATATTCAGATGCATTGTCTTTGTCTGTTCTCATCGTCCCATTAGATTATCTCGTGATCGTGGCGCGGTGGATGTCAGTATGGCGTATGGTGTGCTTTGGAGTTGGACAAGTATCGGTTTACCTGGTTATTCTAGTGAGAATTGTATTCAAATCCAGTGATTTAATTACAATAATTAAAGACAATATATTAAGTCTCGATTAATATTTGGTTAAATAAACGGATAGTTAAATTGTTATCTATAATTACGTATTTGTAACGTACAATATAGGTTATGGCAATCTATTCGTCCGATGAGTTCACCAATTCCTTTAATCGAGACCTAAAATATTGTCTCTAAAACAGATCTGTGTAGAAACCACTATGGTAGCTTAGTAGTTTATCACTTTAATACAATGATATTTAAACTGAAATTTAAAGAGAATATAAACCAAGTCCAAGTAAAAAATTACTCAATAATAGTTCAATTTAAATTATATTAGAGAAAAAGTCAACCCTAAATTAATAATAATACTTATTGTTTT